GCCGCTGCCCAGCTGGGGCTTCGGACGGGGTGGGCGTTGCAGGCAGAAATCCCGGCCTCCCCGGGGAGGGGTGGAGAGCTTGGGGAGGGGGCTGGGCAGGGGCGGAAGCGAGCCGGAGCCGTGTTTGTCTCGGCGCTGCCGAGTGGAACAGATGGCTGGGGAGGGGAGAGGGTACGTGGCGGGGGGGAGGAGGAGTGCGGGGGCCGGAGGATGAAGAACGAGGAATTTCGACGCCCCGAGTCTCCCAGGAGAAGCCCCCCTCCCCATCCCTTCCCAGGAAGAGGGGGGTAGCGCCGGCCTTCATCCCGGAGAGCGTGGCCTCCGGCCCGCGGCGGCCCGCGCTGCGCAGCCCGCCGCCCCAGGGCGCGCCTCTCCTCCCTAGGCCCACCCGGCGCGGGCCCGGCCGGCGGGGTCAAGGCCGCCGCGAGCCGCCCGGGGCGCCAGGGTTAAGGGGGCCGCACTCTGAGGGCCGAGGGGGCGGCGGGAAGCCAGCTCCGAGCTGGGAGCGAGTTCAGGGATCGTAAATAGCTGAGGGAAAACGTGTTAATTGGAACTTTATGCAGATGAGCTGGGACCGGGGGCTGGGTGGGGGGGCGGGGTGGAGGGAGGGAGAAGGTCAGACGGGTACGGGACCCGAGCCCAGTTCCGAGGGAGGGGAGGAGGGCTCCGGCTCCGGACTGGGGCTGAGTGTCCTCGCGCCTGTGTGGTGGCCTCCCGGCTCCTGCCTGAGCCCCCACCCCAGAGACCGAGAAGACCCTTCCAGCGTGTGCACATCCCACGTCCAAGGTCCGGGCTCTCCTATCGCCACGAGGGTGGGGGACGCCTTGCAAGTGTCTGTTTCCGCTTGTGGCTGCTTACCCTGGGTCTCACTCCTGCAGCGTCCCCACCCCCTGGGGCTCCGCGACCTCCCTCGACTCCTCCATCCTTTATTCCCCATCCCTGGCAACACCTTCTCCACGCTGGAGTGTTGTCTGTTTTTTCCGTATGCCTGCGGTCGGAGGTGGGGGGATTCCAACTTTTCTCCCTTTGCTTTCTTTCCCCTGTCTGCCGCCCCTCCCCTGACCCCACTGCACCCCACCTTTGAGATGTTTCTCAACCCTTAGGATGCTTGATAACCACCCCCCCCCACACACACACATACACACTTGTTAAAATGCAGTTCTGGGGTCCCCTGAGTAATCTGATTCAGCAGGTCTGGGGGGCTCAGGGATCTGCATTTTAGCAACTTCCCACGTAAATCAGATGGAAAAGACCCTCATTTTTAGAAGCACTGGCAGGAAACTGGTGGGCTGGAAAGGCTGGGCCAGCTTCCTTCAACAGCCGCCCATTTCCAGCCCTGTCTCCAGGCTCCTGACCTCACCTCCCTCCGAATGGCTGTCCTGGCCTCTGGTGATTTGACCAGGTGTGCAGAAAGTGCCAGGAAGCAGGGAAGGAAGAAAGGAGAAAGGGAGAGAAAGAAATGAGCCTGCACTTAGCTTCTCTCTCGGAGTAGGGTCTTTCCCTGCCGGCTTCTCTCCCCATCTATCTCTTACTCCACCAGCCTGGCTCTCCTCACTCCCTTTCCTTTTCGCCTCTTCATCTGAAGTTTCTAGGAGGCCAAAGGGTCTTAGGGGGAGACCCCACCAGAGTCCCCACCTCCAAAAGAAAGAGGCAAGAGGCACTTCTGGTGTTGGAAGGAAATGGAGGAGGGAAGCTGGACTTGAGGAAAGATCATAATAACAGCAAATACGTAGGTCGGTAGCCTTTCCAGGGGGTTATTGTACTTATCCCCACACCAGCTCAGTTTAAGCAGGTTGTATTGCCCCCGGGTCACAAATAAAAAAAACAAAACCCAAAAACCCAAGAGACATTCAGAGAGGTTAAGTAACTTGCTGAAGGTCACACAGTAAATGGGAGGATCAGAAGGTCATTCACCTTCTGCTTCCCCAGGATCATTTCTCCAGAGGCCACTGGTAGCCGTCCCAGGCCTGTCCTCTCTGTCCCCCACCCCCACCCCAGTGGGGCAATGGGGATGAGGAAGGGCATCATGCACAGAAACGAAAGGAGAGGCTCGGGTTTCGGAACATCTGACAGATCTGGCTGGAAGCATTAAAAATTTATATGGAAACCTGACCCCAGCCGGACCTTGGGTCGGCCACCTGGACTGTCCCTGGCCTTGTGGCCGCTCAGAGCCTGATGGGCAAATTTCCCTGCAGCAGTGTCCTTGAAGCCCCAAATCTTCGTATTTCAGAGGCGAGGGGTTCTCTTATGAATCAGGGATCTAAAGTCAGGACCCAGCAGTTCAGAAAGCAGGGCTGAGAACCCTTCCCCCTACTCTGAGTGTAAGAACCTTAGAGGCTTAAGGGCTTATAAAGGCTGTCATCTGGCGTCCTTCTGTTTTCTCCAGGCTGATGGATGCTCACACTCGGTTTACGTTGACAGAAGCCTGGCTGTGATTCCCAAGGTGGCCAGTGGGGGGCAGCCGTCTGCTTCGAAGTAGCCTGAGCCTGAGTCTCCCTACTGCAGCTTTGAAGGACAGTCAAAGAACTCCCATTGATAAGGTCACATAGAGATGCCGAAGGGGCCTCCTGGAAGGGGTCTGGAGTCTAACCCGAGGAGATGGGGAGACGCTTCCCAATGGGGGGGAGATTGAGGCACTTTTAGGTTTGTGGGCTTCAAGTGCATGATCCAATCATTCTAGCTTTTTCAGAGTGAGGATCTGGGGTGAGGCCATGAGAGAAAAGGCTAGAACGGCAGTTGGTACCAGACGCTGAGGGACCTTTGATGCTCTGCTAAGTCATTTTATCTGTAACCTGTAGGCAGGAAGGAGGCATTGTAGGCTTGTGAGTGACATAAGGACATAATGCAAATTTTGGTCAGATGAATCTGGCCACCACGGCCAGGCTGGGTGGGAGGGAGAGAGAGACTGGATGTAGGAAAACCAGAGAGGAGGTTATTGCTATTTTCTTCTGTATTCCAGGCATGAGGTAATGAGGAGATGGAGCAGGGAGGTGGGGAGGGGGGGATGGAAAGGAAGGGATGGGTTGAGACAGAACTGGGTAAGTGAGCAGACACAGGACATTAGAGAGAGGAGTTAAGCACAGCCAGCCTGGGGACCTGGCAGACCCTGCAGAGTGTGGGTACAGGTGAATGAGCTTTGTTTCCCTCCTGGGTGGGGAGGTTTGGACAAATCCCTTCCCCTCTCTGGGCCTCAGTTTCCCCATCAGAGTCCTGGTGGTTGGACCGGACGGTCTTGAAAGCCCCTCCTGTTTCAGGGTGTGGGGTTCAAGGCTGTGAATCTGAGTTGTTCGGAGATGCCGGGGGTCTGTGCCAGTGAGATCTCTGGAGGTGGTCTCTGCGCGGGGTCCTGCTTCGGCGGCTGGGCGGCTATGCGGGCACATCAGTATTTGGGGTGCATCTGCCTGTCTGTGGGACCCGTGGGTGTCAGCCTGCCTGCACGTGCTCCATAGCTCCGCCGTGGTGTGAGCGTGCGTGAGAGATCGTGTGAGCGTGGGTGTGCACGTGATGGGCGTCCGTGGGTCTGTCTAGGCTGGTGGGGGTGGGGGTGGGGGAAAGAGGCACTGCTGTAAGCTTCTTCCTGAGGCTCACACGCTCCTCTTGCTTTCACTGTTCTGAAATAGCATCTGGACCGAAGGCCCATGAATATTTCACAACGATAATTCTGTGACCTGGACAGCCTGCTTCTGATTTCCCAGCACCCTCCCTCCCCCTGCCCAGCCCCCAGCAGCAACTCCCTCATCAGAGCTCTTGGCTCCCTGGCCCCACTCGCTAGCCTCTGCAGTCAGCCTCACACAGGCTCCTGGGAGACCCCCCACCCCCCGACCCAGAGCTCCCCAGGTTCCTGACTAGCTGGCTGCCCTCACAATCTCCCCACGCACCCCACACTCCTATCCAAAGTCTGCCTGCCTCAGGCCTTCAATGTCCACTCCTTCCTGTTTCTGCCTCCTCCTTCTGACTTGCCAGGCCAAGAGTCACAGAATCTCAGCACCCCTCCTGTCTGAGCGCTGGCATCCAGGTCCCCTCTCTTTCCACTCCCGCTCCCCAACGTAGCTTCTTAATCCTAAAGGTAAACCATCCAACTTCTCCCCAGTTCTGATGAGACTCACTCCTAACCTCCATCCCAAATCCTTCTTAGTTGAGCTTTTTCCTTCCCCCGAGCCTCCCCTTCACACACTGGAAAGATGACGCTTCTGATCATACCTCAAGCCAGCCAGACACCCCAACTTGGGATCTTGTCCCTCTGGTCACCCTAGGACCTCTGTCCCTCTTCTAACCTGCTTGCAGAACTGCTTCTCTGACCTGGTCCTTCCCACCTTGCAGGAGCTACGGGAAAGAGAACATTGATCTACAGGGTCGTAGTGTACAGCTGTGCAGGCTGTACACTGCACAAAGGCACTCAGCCAAGGGGGCCAGCGTGAGCTGAAATTCAGCCTTAGGCTCCGCCTGCTAAGGTGTTTGCTGTGCTGTGGGGCTGGGTTCCCCTGAGGAAGGGTGCCTTTTTCAGACGTGCCCAAAGCCATGTTTGGGCTGGCTGTAACCGTGGATGTCTGTTATCTCTCCTTGCAGGGTGAGGTGGGAAATGCTCGTCCCTCCTGAAGGAACAGGGCCTGGGAGGGGGCTGTTAACCAGGCTGGAGGCTGGAGGCCTTCCCGGGGGCCAGACAGCCCAGGGCCCCAGGGCCGGCAGTAGCTGCCCCTCCTGGACAAATGGGGAGGTGAGGTGATGTCATCACTTACTCTTGGCTGTCAGGTTTCACCTGGCCTGCTTGGGGCTCTGCAAACACCCCTCTTCCTCAGTCTTGAGCTTCTCGTCGTCGGGGAGCACAAACGGGGGCTCCAGCCAGCAAGAATGGCTTTGATGGCAAGGGATGGATCCCCTTTCTTAAACCTTCCAGGCCCTGATGTCCTGATGGTCCTAAGCCCTCTTCCCACTTTTGAGGTCCTGAGCCAACAAACCTTATAGAAGAAGGTAAAATAATAGAACTTTTTAATAAATTTTTTTTTTTTTCCCAAACAACTTCTGTTGATCTTCACCACACGGGGGCCACGCTGGAGAGGAAAGTTCTCTCCGGGCAGCCTAAAAAATGTCCCGGGTAGACTCAGGAGAAAAGTATTCCTCCGGTGTCGGGAGGTGGAGGGGGGCTAGGATGAGCAGGGCCCCACCTGGGGCATCCCTCCAAAGGGCTCCTGGGTGGGGGTCCCTCCCCGGGAGCTTCCAAAGGCTCTGCTGGTGGAAGGTGCTCTGCAGACGAAAGCCGCTCTCGAGTCCACGGTGGGCACTGGGAGAGGGGGTCAGCGGCTGCCTGGGGGGCCCACCGCAGCCTTGGGGCGGGGAAGAGTTAATGGCCGGAGTTGGGGAGCATAGGGCTGAGCCACCAGACGCGTCCGGTCTTCCGGGGGTCGCCCTGAGCCAACAGCCCCGGAGGGCAGGGAGAGGCCTGGCCAGGCCAGGTCCCCGGGGGAAGTGGGGAGGGGCGGGGGAGGGGCCCGGAAGGCAGCAAGGCCGGGGTTGGGGGCGGGGGACACAATGGCCTCTTCAGTCTCAGCACCGCAGTCAGAGGTGGTGGGGCGCCAGCAGCAGGAGGCAGAGCAGAGGGGTGGGCAGCCCGGCCGAGAGCGCGGGGCCGCGGGAGTCCGGGGGCGCCTGGCAGGCAGCGCCCGGGCACGTCTGCTCCCCCCGCTGGTCCTCGCCCCCGTAGCCCCCCCAGTAGTCGTCCTCCGTGGGCGCGTCCCCGCCCTGGCGCCCCCGCGGGTCCTCGGCGGGCAGGTCTCGGTAGAGGGTGGAGGGGTCGGCAGGGGGCGCCCCGGCCTCGGCCACGCCGTACAGGTGGTTGGACGAGCTGTTGCCGCGGGCGCGGCTGCCGGGCCGCGTGGGCGCCGCGGGCGGGCACGCCTGGAAGTCGGCGTCGCGGAGCGCGCGCAGGTCGCGGCCCTGGCGCTCGGGCGGGGTGGCGCAGGTCACGTCGGAGCTGGACACGCGCGCGCGCTGGAACCAGGCCCAGAGCGGCCGCGCGCGGCAGTCGCACGCCCAGGGGTTGGCGTTGAGCCGCAGGAACTCGAGCGCGGGCAGGTCGGCGAGCGCCTCGCCGGGCAGCGAGGCCAGGCTGTTGTTGAACAGGTAGAGGATGGTGAGGCGGCTCAGGCCGCGGAAGGCCGCGCGGTGCACGCCCTGCAGCCGGTTCCCGTGCAGCAGCAGCCGGTCCAGGCTGCCCAGGCCACGGAACACGTGCTCCGTGAGCAGCCGCAGGCGGTTCCCGTGCAGGAAGAGGTGGCTCAGGTTGGCCAGGTCCGCGAACAGGTCATCCTGGGGGGGGGGGGGGGCGGGGAGAGCAGAGAGTGGTCCTTAGAGGCGGCTGGAGAGGAGGGGGAGGAGGGAGAGCCCTGCGGTAGAACGTTTTGATTCAGAGCCCTGGGTTTGAATCGTACCTCCCCGAACCCGCTGAGAGGTTAATGTGGGGAAAGCAATATGGTTGAGGTCAGGAGTTTTTCAAACGTCAGTGCTTAATATCCTGCAGATCCCTGCGTGCTGCGCCCCCCCCCCCCCCCCCCCCCCCCCCCCCCCAGTTCCTGATGCAGTGGGTCCGGGGCGAGGCCGGAGGAGCTGTTCCCGGGCTGGTGCCGAGGCTGCTGGCCGGAGGACCGCACTTGGAGAACCGAGAACCCTCGATTTGCTTAAGCGTGCGGACGGCGCAGCCCGACTTCCTGACCTCAGATCTGGATCTGTCAGTACTGACTGTGCCCCTTGGGGGCAAGTCTCGGTATCTCTGACTCAGTCTCCGCACCTGTAAGACGTGGAGGTTAAATAAGCAACCTATCCTAAGTTCCTTAGAACAGGATTTCCACAGGGAGAGGCATTGTGTGGGTTGGCGGTGATTGCCAGTAATCTCTCTGAGCCCGTTTCCGCGTCTGTAAAATGGGGATGAGTGTGCCTCCTCCTGGGCTTGTTCAGAGGATTAAAGAAGACAATCCGCACAAAGAGCAGATGGGTGAAGTGCTGGGCACGGTGCCTGGCACATTGGGATTCAGGCCAGTGAAACCCCACAGGCTCTGGAGTGAGAGCCCGGGGCTGCAGATCCAGCTTGCCCTCTTTGCAGCTGCGTTAAGTTGGGCAAATTCTTTAGCCTCATCTAGCCTGAGTTTCTGCAGTATGGATAACCCAGAGAACAACCCGAGGGTTAGGTGAGATCATGCTGGAAGGATACAGTACCCGGTGGGCACGGAGAGTCTTAGTGACAATTAGGTCCATCCCTTTGCCTCTGACAGAGGACCTTACTGGGGCTCAACAGTTCTGTTGTACCGGCTGGGATGTTCTTGGGACCAAGCATCAGCTCCACCCCCCAGAGGCAGCGGGGGAGGGGAAGGAAACCTGCTGTCTGATGCCCTGAGTCACTGGCCCCCTTAGAGGGGCTGCCCCGCCTGCCTGCCTGCCTGAGGCTGGGGAGCCCCAGAATCGGGCCAAGTTAGTGCTGGAAGGCTCTTGAATTGTGATTCAGAATTAACGGGGGTGGGAGAATAGGTCTAGGTATGTTCCTGGGGGAGGGGAGGGAGGAGGCAGGGGGCTAGATTCTGCTTTTTATCCAGCTCACCAGCTTGGTGATGGTCAGCCAGACGTGGGAGTCAGGGCTTAGGGGTCCACCGGCCCAGCCACTTTTTATAGAGGAAAGCACGAAGACCCAGAGAGCTGAAGGGCTTGCCAGAGAGGGGGCTCAGGACCCCAGCCCTGAGATCCGCCCACCTGTGCAGGACATCAGTGTGGTCAGCAGGCCCACAAAGTCTGCTCCCAGCAATAAGAGCATATGCTGTGCCCCAGCCAGCTCATCCCGGGTCCCGTTTCCTTCCTGCCTGCGGGGACGATCCCGCCCATCTCACTGAGGAGCCCCGTCGGTGGGGCTGGCTCTCAGGTGGGGGGAGGGCGTTGACTCCCAGCCCACACCCACAGCCTCCACCTTCCGGTGCTCCCGCGTTTGCTCGCCCCCTCCCATCTGCCTTCCGCCCTCTCCGCTCCAGGAAACTAAGCCTGCCAAGAACCCTCCTCTTGGCCACATTGAGATCCGTCCTCTCAACCTTCTTCGCTGTCTCTGACACCGGCATTCTCGGCCCCCTGCAGCCACCGCCCCGTGTGTCCAGCCCAGGTCCCCAGGGGGCCCTCTGCACGCCCGTGGCCTCAGCCTGTCCCAGTTTGGCCAGGTGCCCTTCCTTGTCCTTGTCTTCCCGGCCCCCAGGGAGTGGGCTCTGAAGCCCTTCCCCTCAGACACCTAGTTAGGGTCTCTGTTTGTTTTATGGAATGTCAGCAATAGTGGGACACACCCAGAGACAGCCGGTCGGGGTCAGTATGGGGCGGGGAGTAGAGCAGAGGTGATCGGCGCTGTGGGGACTTCCAGAGGTCAGGAAGGGAGCCCCAAAGGTCCACTCACCCCAGAAATTCAGGCGCCTTTGACCCACAGCCCCACCTTGGGGGCTACAGAATGCCTTGATCCCAACTCTTCTTGCCCCCTGTTCCCTCTTGCAAAAGTCCTGGCCGTCCCCTTGCAGAGCCTCCGTCTGGGGGTCCATACCCCTCCCCTCATCCATGCTGTTGTCAAATCCCACAGCCACGTCCTGGGCTGCAGCTCTCAAATCTGGGCCTTCCTCTCTCCCTGTTCAAACGTTCTCTGTGCATTAATAAGCTCTTGACTTTCACAGCCCTCACCCTCACCCCCCAATCACCCCCTCCCTCTGGGCTGCTAGAGTCATCCACATCCATCTCGGAAAACCACATCCCCCCCCCCCCTCGTCAGTTCACAGCTCTGCATCCATTTGGAATCTCATCGCTGCATCCCTGCCCCCCCTCCCCTTCCCCACAGCATCCTGTTCTTTACTCGGCCTCCTTCCACCCTCCCAGCTCTGGTCTCTGGCGCTAGTCATTGGGGCTGTGTGACCTTGGGCAGTTCCACAAACCTCTCTGGGCCTCGGGTTTTTTCATCTGCGAAACAAGGGACTTGAGAGGGTTGATCATTAAGATCCAGCCTCATCTGATATTTATGAGTGAGTGAGTCCTGGAATGTACCTCATTCATTCAACAAAGCTGTATTGAGTGTCTGCTCCGTGCCAGGCACCCCCGCTCACAGTGCTCACCAGCCTGTGCCAGGTGTCACCGTCACTGCCTGCGTCAGCGTCGTCAAGCAGCTGACTTGCCCAGCTCTCACTGTGGGCCAAGCTTTGTGCTGCCCAGTCCCCACGTAGTAACTTCAGCATCACAACCCCATGAGGCAGCTAATATTGTATGTCCCTTCCAGAGAAGAGGGGTGCAGGACTCCCAGAAGGCAAGCCACTTGTCTGGGGTCCACCAGCCGTATATGGTGGAAGGTGGATGTGGACTCTGGAGATGGGGCCCTGCTGTGCTCTGGAGTCAGGCAGATCGGGGCTAGTTCTAGCCTATGCTCCTCCATAGCTGGGTGACCTTGGACTGGTGCCTGCACATTGCCGAGGGTCAGTGCTGTTAAGTGGGGGAAATGACACCTACCCTGAGCCCTTTTCAAGTAGAATGTGCTTTAATCCTCACAGCAAACCTCTGAGGCTCAGCTCATTTTCTCCATCTGCCAGATGGGCCCATTGAGGCTCAGAGAGGTTAAGTAACTTGCCCAGAGCCACACAGCAAATCAAAAGTGGACCCAGGATTCCAATTCAGATCAGCCAGAGTGCACAGACGGCTCTTACATACCATGCAGGCTGTAATGTGTAAGGGAGAGAACTGGTGTCTCTGTTCCCTGGTTCTACTCAAGTAGGAGACCTGCTCCAGAAGAGCAGGGACACTGCTTCTGCTCACTACCAGAATCCCCAGCATACAGCAGGTGCTCCGTAAATATCCACTGATGAATGAATGTGAGAAACTCCGCCCCACCCCACCTTCCTCTTCCTGAAAAGCTGTGGCCCTCTTCCTCTCCCTGCCTCCAAAGCTCCCCTTCCTGGACAGGCGCCACCTGGGGTCACGTCTGTGCTCTGTGGCTCTCACCCCAGCCCGCATGGCCCTTTGCCTGCTTGTGGCATCTCCCAGCCTGGTTCTGCCAGGCAGTTCCCATGCAGAGGCTGGCTCTTTCTCCTCTACAAAGAGCCAGGTGTGAAGACACTTCCTTCCCGTGATACCTGGCACCATTCACACTATGGGGTGCCAACTAAAGTATCCTGTTTGAGAAGACCCTCCCCGCCCTGGCCCTGCTCACCGTATCCACTCAAGGTCCCCTTTGCCTAGACCTTTCCTGACCCCAGGCTCTGGCTGCCATTCGTGCATGGCCTGAGAGCGGATGGAGGGTCAGGTCATCATGACACGATTTATTCTGCCCTGAACTCTGTGCTTTATATACACAAGTGCATTTGCCTTTTATAGCCTTTCTTTGTGGAAGGAATTATTTTTATTTTTCCCCTATTAAAGATGAGGAAACTGAGGTTCGGGGGGGGGCATCTTGCCTAAAGTTCAGTAAGTCAGAAAATAGAGCAGGGATTCAAACTCAGGCCCTTGAGCCCCAAATTCATCATACGGAACCAACTAATCTAAATTGCTGAGGCGGTCGGGGGCTCAGTGCGAGGAGTTGTTGAACTTCTGGCTGTATTAGGATAATGATGGTAGCACCTGCGTGGAGTGTGGCTCAGGGTGAAGTTTTAAACCTTACCAAGCGTCCTAGATAAATGTTAAGTACTAGCACGACTGCCATTTTAGAGATGAGGAAACGGAACACCCAGAGGTTGAGTAATTTGTCTGAAGTCCTACAGGAGCCAGGACTTGAACCTTGGTCTGGCCGACTCCAAAGCGTGTGCTTTCAAAGGGGAGCCCACACCACTGTGCTTCCTGCACCCGGACAGAGCCCTGTGGAGAAGTCTGATGGTGGAGGCTCCCAAGATGCCATCAGACCACGCAGGCTTGAGTGCCACCTGCGCTTCCTGGTTGTGTGGCCTCAGGAACCTTCCCTCCTGCACCTCACTGTCCCCAACTGCCAGGTTCTCATGAGGCTCAACGCCCTGCAGGACACGCTAGCCTCCCCGTCACGTGGACTTCATGCAGTGGTTTAAGAGACTTCACGTGTAGAAGCCTCTACAAAGTTTTTGGGACCCTCGGCCTCCACTTCCTCATCCGGGAGGAAACAGCTTCCAGCTGGGCTATAGAAGTGAGTGAGGTGGCCTGAGATTCAAGGCGAATTTAGGAAGGCAGGAAAAGGGAGGGAGTATTCTGGGGGCTCACTCGGGGCCTCAGGATAATCCATGAAGTTGACCCAAATCTCCAGGAGTGGGTCCAAGATGGGCCATTTCACCAAGACCAATGTTAAATGAGGCTTGTTTCTCTTTTTAAAATAGTATTTTAACAAGCATTTATATAGTGCTTACCGTATGCCAAGCACTATTCTAAGTGCTTTACAAATTATTCATGCACTGAATGCTTATAAAACCCCAAGGAGATGGGGGCTGTTGCTGCCCCCGTTTTATAGATGGAAAAACTGTGGTTCGGGAAGGTTAAAGCCTGTCACACGCTTGTAAACGATACCAGAGTCGATGCCTGTATAGTCCCTAGCACGGTGCCGGACACACAGTAGCGCCCACGGAGCAACAGTGGACGCTGCCGCTATCATTATTTTTGCAGTAATAATGGTTGTGACAAGATTTTCCAGCGTACTCTGCATTTTTCTGCTTGTCTGTCTTCCCCACTAGAATGCTCTCTCTGAAGGCAGGGAGCGGGGTTTGTTTTGTTCCCTGCACCCCACCCATAGTGGGTGCTCCATGCAGGGCTGTGAGGTTACTACTGCTAATTGTCATTACCACTGTCAACATCATCACTGACCTGATGTTCAAATCGGCACATTGGTGAGACCAGGCAGGCACCGACCCCGGGGTGGGGAGGAGCAAGAGCCCTCCAGGCTTATGTGGGGAGAGGGGAGAATTTGGATGTCCTTGCCCCCTTCCAGCGAGAGGCAATGTAGCCGGGGGAGGAATGTCTTCCAGAGTGGTTTGGAGGGTGTGTGATTGCTTCCTGGGGAAATAGAATCGGAGGATCTGGCTGTCAAACAGTCAGCATAACAACAACAATAAACAATATTTAGATCAATGGCAATAACAATAAATAGCAATTACTGTTATTCCTTCCGTTTCCAGAGCATCCGTTTTCCAGCTGCTTAGGAGCTCTTTACCCTTTTGTTCTCCTTCTTCCCTTGCACTGCGGTGCCAGCTTTGGGGGACAGGAGTCTGGAAAGGGCAGGACTTGCCCTTCTCCTGGTACCCAGTGAGCTGGAGAGAGGCAGAGCCTTCCATGGGACATAAGGGTAGGGGCTCTGCCCTCTGGCTGTTCCTCCCCGTGACGTGGGAGGGTGTGGGGGCGGGTGAGAACATCAGCCACAGAGGCCTTCCGGCTGGGCACCCTGTGAAGGGCAGAGCCCCCCGAAGGCAAACAGGGGGGAAAGGAGGGATCACAGAAAGAGACACATACATACACCCAGACAGACATGGGGGAGTGTGTGGGGTGGGCGTGTGAAGGGAGACAGACAGAAGAGGCAGAAGAAGACAGATGGGGGAGGCAAGTTAGCAGAGAGGGACAGAAAAGGATAGACAGACAGACAGACAGACAGACGGGCAGAGGGAGACAAAGGGGGGGGCACTGGAGAGTTGGTGAGAGAGGCAGCAAGGGACCCAAAGGGGTGCAGACAGGAAGACAGAAGAGAGAAAATAAAAGAGGACCCCCCCCCCCACCCCGGAGAGAATGAGAGGGACAGAAACTTAAGAGACGGGGCAGGAAGGCTGTCCCCAGGTGCCTCGGGACAGAGGGGCCGGGGCCCAGGGAGAGCTGTGCGCACGCGGGCGCGCCCCGGGTGGGGCCGGCTCACCTGGAGGTGGAGCAGGCTGTTCTCCTGGAGGTAGAGGTACTGGAGGCTGACCAGGCCGCGGAAGACGTTGGCGGGCAGGCTGCTGAGCTGGCAGCGGTACAGATGCAGCGACTGCAGCCTCTCCAGGCCCTGGAAGGTGTCGGGCTCCAGAGAGCGCAGGTGCCGGTTGTCGCCCAGGTCCAGCTCCTCCAGGGCCTGCAGGTGACGGAAGGTGCCCGGGTAGATGGCGGAGAGGTTGTTGGAGAAGAGCCACAGGGTGAGCAGGTTGGGCCCGAAGGTGCCGGGCCGCAGCGTGCGGATGAGGTTGTTCTGCAGGAAGAGTCGCTGCGTGCCGGGAGGCAGGGAGGGCGGCACCGAGGAGAAGTTGTTGGCCTGGCAGCTGACGGTGGGCGGGGACGAGTAGCAGGTGCAGAGCGCGGGGCAGCTGGGGGCCGCGGGGGGCAGGGCCAGGAGCATCAGCAGGAGGCCGGCCGAGGCGGGACCTGAGGGGACAGGGAGGCGGGCTGGGGTGGGCCGCGGGCCACTGGGGGGTGGGAGTGGGGGCACCTCACCGCAGCGCTTCCCGGGTTCTGGGTGCATCCCCGGCCTCTCCATTAGCCCCGGGCCACTTCTGCTTTCCGAGGCTCCTGGCGTATTAAAAATATAAAGAAATGCCAAGAGGGCACTATAGAAAGCCAGGTTTAATGTTGTTTGAGGAGTGGTCGTCTTTTCTCAGCGGCTCCCCCTGTGGTGGGTTTGGCCACGGGGACTGTCAGGGCTCCCCCACCTCGGCTCGCCGGGCCGGCCGGTTCTCTGCTGCCAGGGGCAGTCCTATACGATGGCCTATTTCGGGTGTTCCTCTACCGCTAGATGCGAGTCACACCTGCCCCCTGGTTATGATAACCAAAATGTCTCCAGACATTGCCAGATGTCCCTCGGGGAGCCAGTCGCCCCCATTTGAGATCGGCTGGAACTAAATTGAGAGCCTTGGCGAATCTGGCCCGCGCATGGTGGCCCTCTCTGGGTGCCCTGGGGTCTGGCCCCGCCACGCGCCCACTCGTGCCTGCAGCTCCCCCCCCCCCCCCCCCCCCTGCCCAGCAGCTTTCCCCTTTCCCCTTGGAAGACCCAGGGCCTCTCCAAGCTGGAAGGAAGGACCCTTAGGGACCAGGAGTCAATGCATCTCTAACTGGGGCCAGCGGCCAGCTGGAAAGAACGCCGAATCAGGATTCCCGGGGGCACCTGCGTGGCTCAGTCGGTTAAGGGTTCGACTTCGGCTGAGGTCATGATCTCATGGTTCGTGGGTTCGAGCCCCACTTCGGGCTCTGTGCTGACAGCGAGTTCAGAGCCTGGAGCCTATTTCAGATTCTGTGTCTCCCTCTCTCTCTGACCCGCCCCTGCTCACACTGCCTCTCTCTCTCTCTCTCTCTCTCTCTCAGAAATAAACAAAACATTAAAAAAAAAAAAAAGAATCAGGATTCCTGGGGGACAGCCCGGGAATCTGCATTTTCTGCCACAAGCCATTCTCATTCGAAGTCACTTAAAAATACATATATGTATACATATTTTCAATTAACCTGACTATTGGAATAGTTCAGCCTTCTTACGATATGGATGGAGAAGCACGCCTGGGGCTAAAGAGTTGAGGCAAGGCCCCTGTATCCTTGTGCTACAGCAGGGGGTGAGGACCCCTCGTCCATCCCTGTCCCCTGGTCTTCTTGCCCACACTGCAGCCTATAAGCCTCTGGGCTGGATGTAGCTTGACCTCTGCCCTTTACCATGACTTCCAGATGACTCCTGGGGTTTTCTTCTGGCAAGCTGGCCTGGAGAGAAGGGGAGCCTACACCCCACAACCCAGACAGTGATTCCTCCCTGGGCACACAGACTGAGAACCTTCTGCTTCACACAATGTGTTAGCCCCTTGAAGGTCGAGGGGAGGAAGACGGGTCCTTGAACCCAGGACCTGAGATCCTGGGGGCTTCTGGGCTTCCTGAGACCCCAGAGGAGAGACTGAGGGTCTGTGGCTTTAAGTCATGCCTTGTGCTCCAGAGGGTGCCGTGGGTTGTGTGGTGTGTGGTGTGGTATGTGTGTGTGTGTATACACACACGTGTGTGATTGTAGGCAAGGGTGTGAGCTGGGTGCTGGCTGCCTAGCCTGGTGTTTGCACACGGCACCGACAGGTCCGAGTGTGGGGTGGGTATTGTGGATGCTCTCCTGTGCCTCCTCACCTGGGGGCGCCCACAGGGGCAGGGGTGGGAGACCCCATGCCTGATGTGTTCGGTGTTCCTGAGCCCCGACTTCGGGTGCCACCCCGACTCCGGGGCCCCTCCTGGTGCTGTGCCGCGCGAGCGTGCGAGCGTGTGCCGGCTGCGCTCCGTGTGTGTGTGAGTGCGGCCCCGTGCGTGTGTAGGCTGGGTGTGATGTAATACTCAGTGACACAGCGGCTGCTGTTCCGTTCCTTCACACCACCTCCGCGTTTCTCGGCCCTTCTCACCCCTCCCCCTTGCGGCGTTTCACGATTACTTTCTCCTCCTGAGTTTTTCAGAGCCACGTGGGGTGGAGGGGCATGTCTCTCACCCCTCATCTGAACCAGGCAGGGGGCAGGTAGCGCAGCAGGGAGCCCTGGGTGGGGCTCAGGAGGACTGAGGTTTGGGGCTTAGAGTGGGAGATTTCAGAGCTGGAACGATCCTCCGGGTACGTGGGGTTCAAGCTCTTAGTCTATGGAGGGGGACACTGGGGCTCAGAGAGGGCAAGGAACCTGCCCAAGGTCACACAGCAAAGTGGTTGACTGGGCAAGGACCAAAAAAGATTCTCCTGACGCCTGGCCAGGACACTTAGCAGTCACCCTCTGAGCATGCTTCCCTAATGACTTGACACCAGAGGAAGCCAAATCCTTTTCTGATCCTTAATCCCACCCCTTATCCACAAGCTCACAAGAGAGTGTGAGCTCTGAAGGCCACCAGCCCTCCAGAGGATTAGGGAGCTCTTCTTGCAGCCTCTAGGGCTGACGGGACACCAGGGAAAGGGTGTGCCATCCCACAGCTCTCCAGAGTCTGGGGCTACTCCCTGGCCCCGGGGACCCCTCCAGCCTGGAGGCCGAGTGTGCAGGGGCTGCGTCACCACCCCCTGGCTCCCTGCTTGCCCACATCAGGGGGCCCCTCTTGTCTTTCCCCTCACCCCCTCCCACCTGCCCCCATATCTCCCCCCATCATGCCCACCGCCCCAAGCCCACCACCCCAAGTCGGAGCTGGTGTTGCCTGCTGGGTCTCTGAGGAGGGGCCCTGAGCAGGGGGCCCCTGTGTGACAGCTGCTGCGTAACAGTGACTCTGTTGCCATTTCTGGCCTCTCCGCCGCGCGAAGCAGCTGTAACCCAAGGAGCCTCATCCATAATTCAGGTTGCGGCTCTCACTGGAGGCAGGGAGGAGGGGAATGCGGGGGGCTCTGGGTTTCTCTGCCCCCCCCAGCCCTTGCTGGAGGGTTCCTGGGCAGAGGCAGTGGGGGCTGGCAAGCCACACCTCTCCCCCCTCTCCCCCCACGGTCTGTGCCCAGAGTGAGCCCTTTTCCTTCTCGCCAGGGTCCCTTCCCCGCCCCCTGCTTCCCACAGCTCCTCTCCGTCACTCCTTCCCTCCAGGCCTTGTCTCCTTTCCCTCCCCGAGGACCATAGGTCCACTCCAGGCTCCCATTTTGTGACTCCCTAGCAAAGGCCAGGGCAAGATACAGAGTGTCGGAGCTGGGGGGGGGGTACGTCAGTGGCCAAACCCCTTATTTCACAGGCAGTGGCACTGAGGGCTGGAGAGGGGAAGGGTCAGTTTCTGAGTGAGCAGCTCAGGCCTCCTCTGACATGAATCTCTGACAGTCTGCCTTCATTATCTTTCTTGCAGTTTTCATTTCACCCCTTACTACTTGTAAGGGGCAGAGGGGAGCTGATGGCGACAGCCTCTCCCACCTTCTTGGCTCACCCTGTCCTCTCTCTTTCCTACTCTTCCTTTTTTCTAAAGTCAGCAGGTGACGGGCTACAGCTGCAGGGGACTGTGCAGCTGGGATGGGGAGAAGCCATCTGTTATTAAGCACCTACTGTGCTCCAGGCACTGCATTTCTACATAGAGAAATACAGTGCTTTTACGCATAGAGTGTAATGTAACATAAGCCTGTAAGGTCAGTATTATTGCCCCCAATTTGGAGACGCAGGGAGGGAGGCTCAGGCACGGAAAATGAGTTGCCCCAGGTCACACAGCTGGTACAAGGTGGGACCCAGATTGGACAAGCCTAAATCAGAAGAGATTCATTCTCCAACCTTTTTCTTTGGGAGACCCCATATCACACAGAACCCACACCTGGGCGTGACAGTCACCGCTCTTGAGGTAAAGGGAGCCAGAAACTGCACCCAGGTGCACAGGCCTGGGCCGGCCATGATGCTGTTCAGGGTGAGGGCAAGGAATGCACCCAGGCTCTGTGCAGATGTCTTCTTAGGGGCTCCAGCTTGAGGCTACTCTAAGCGAAGGCCCGTTTTGGAGTCAAAAAGGAATGACTCGTGTGCAGGAGATGGGGCTAGGAGTGACCTGCCGAGGGAGTGGAGAGAGGCCGGTACTTGGTATCGATCCCGGAAGGCTGAGGTGCCCAGAGCCAAAAAGTATCCACTCACCGGGGGACCGCTGTCAAGGACTCTGGGCTATCACCCTGGGGTACCAAGGCTCAGAAACAAGGTTCTCACCCCAGGAGCCACCTTTTAGTCCCGAGGCTCTGGTGAGAGAAGCAGTGTGAGGAGGAGGAGGATGGACTCCGGGTGGGCGGAGGGCCGGGTGCTAACCCGGAGGGCAGCGTGGCCCAAGAAAAAAAAAGATGCTCCCTGGAAGGGGCGTCCAGGGCTCTGGCTCTGCAGGAAGGGCGCGGGGTCCCAGATGAACACAGGTTTCACACCCTAAAGGCTGGGGAAGGGCTGGGGCCTGGCAGGCAGATGCCGAGGGGCGTAGGGGTTGAGGAGGTGGGGGCGTGGAGCAGCAGGGAGGCGGCAGCGATGCCAGTGACGCAGGGGCCTGGGGAAGCACCGGTGCGGGTACGGAGGCTCAGAGCTGCTGCAGACAGCTTCTCACTCTGCCAGAATGTGACACCCCAAAATAAGCAGCCACCGGGGTGGCGGTGGCAGGATCCGACGGCAGGGTCCAGAGGTATAAATGGCAGCACGCAGCCAGCCAAGGTGCCCACCCTTGGAGGCTGTCCTCACCCTTTCCTCCTCACAGCCGCCCCCAAGGCCCTGAGCTCAGAGCCCCCCAGGCTGGCCCACCGACCACTCCCTGGGAGCAGGGACGTGCCAGGCAGGCGCTTTGGGAATGGAGGGCTTCCCACGTGGAAGTGGTTACCAGAAGCCTCTTTGTCTCCTCCCTAGGCAGCCACCTCTGGTACCTCTCTCCCAGCGTGTCCCCTTCCTCCCTTCCCAGCCCCAGCCTCATCCACATCAACCCCCCCCCCCCCATCTATGGTTCGCTGTCACCGATCCTGGTGTTCATCCTGGAGCCTCTTCTCGGTTCCTGACACCCCAATCTTCATCCACCACCCCTCTCTGGTTTCTAGGTTTCCCATCTTCCCACTCCCCTTTCCTTCCCGGTCCCTAGGGTCCCCGCCCACCCCCTTCTTTCAAATTACGCACCCTCCCTTCCCGATTCTGGGTCCCTTTTCCTGTCTTCTCCGCATCCCTCTCTGAACCTGGTCTGCCCTCTCCTCCTCTCTGTCTCGGGCCTCACCTGGGTCCCACTTCCCTCCAGGTTTCTCCCCGTCTAACCTTTATTCCTCCTCCTCCTCCCTCTGCGTCCCTCCCCTAAACCACTTTCTCCATCACCGACTGCCTCTTGCTCTCCCCCTCTCTCTGACCCCTTCCCCCCCACCCCACCCCCAGTCTCCGGTCCACACCCTAGTTTGTCAGTCCGTGGAACCACCCCCTCCCTTCTAGCACCCTCCATCCTCCGTCTTACCAGGCAGGGCCCTTTGGATTTCCCTCCGAGCCTCCCATCCCCCCAGACAGCCCCCCTCCCCACACCCCCCGTCTTCCCAGGTGACTGGAAAGTGCTGAGGCACGGGGCACCAGGAGTTGCTGAGTCGGCGCTTCCCCAGCCGGCCAGAGTCCTCGGCGTCCCCCGGAGCAGCTGGAGCCCGGGCCGGGTCCGCCTGCCCCTGCGTCCCCCCGCGGTCACGAGCTACCCGCGCCTCCCAGCAGGCTCCGAGCCGGGTGCGCTCCGGCAGCCGGCCACCCCGGGCGCGGGGGCGGGGCCCCCGGCTAAGCTCTCCCCCCTCCCGAGGCTCCTCCCCACCCCCACAACTGCCCCACCCTCGCGCCCGTGGGGAGGGGGCACCCGGCTCCCCTCCCCAGGTCGCCCTCCGCCGGCCGGCGAGCCGAGGTCCCTACCTTGCAGCAGGCGCCCGAGCCCGGGCAGCATCTTGTCTCGACGCTCGGGGGATGGGGCGGCGGGGGGAGGGCGCTCCCACTCGCTCCCTGAGCCCGCCTGCCGGACGGCGGGGACTCCGCGGGGCTCCGGGAGGGCCCGGGCGTCCCGGGGCTGGGTGGCCGGGCCGCGAGGCTCTACCCTGCGCCCCCCGGGCTGCGGGCCTCGGGAGGAGCCATCGGCCCCGACGGGACGGGGCGGGGCGCGGCGGGGCTGGGAGGGCTGGAGCCGGCCGTCGACGCCGGGTGCCAGCGCCCCCCAGCAGCGCCAGCCGCACGCGAGTCGGTCAGTCCGTCGGCCCGTGCGCCCCGGCTGCTCGCCGAGGGAGAGTGGGGACAGCGAGGATGCACTTCCCAACCACCCCCACTCCTTCCCGCACTCGCTGGCTCCTCCCTCGCTTCCCAGCTCGCCGACTTAACCCTCTCCTGGCCACAGGAGGCGGGCGCGGCTATCCAGCCCCCTCCACCCCGGCCCCCCTCCCCTCCTTGGGGAGCCCGGAGGACGGTGTTCGATCGCCTTCTGGGATTTCGAGAGAAATCCTTTCCCAGGGGGGAGAGGGGTGTGTGCGGTGCAATAGTGTAAGGGAACCCCGTGGACTTGTCCAGTCCCCCCTCCCAACTTTCCCGGGGGAGATGGGCTCCGGGGTCACCTCCCCTTTCCTGCCACGCCCCCAGCGCCAAAGTCCAGGCCTCCGCGGTTTCTGCCTCCTGGGAGGGCTCCTAGATTCCACTTTCCCTTCCGTTCCCAGCCCCCAGAGTGTGTGCGACTATAAGAATGGCATATGCAAGAGTTTGCGTGTGCAAGATGGAGTGCATATGAGCGTGCACGCACGCACACGGGCACTTGTGAAGGTGTGACTCTAGAGTGCTCGCGCGCGACCTCTTAAACGGGCCCGGGGAAGAGGGGGCCCGTGAGCGTGCGGGTGGGTGAGCAGCTGAGTGCCCGCCAGCGTGCGGGTCTGCACTGGTGCGAAGCGTGAGGTGTGCGCGAGCCCGGCGCGAGCGAGCCTGAGTTGGCTGGCAGGGGAATCGGGCCTGGGTGTGTGTGCCCTTCATGCTTTTGCGAGCGGGTGCAAGTTTGGGTGCGCGTGCGAGTGTGCATTTTTATGTGTAAGTGTGATGTGACCTAAAGGGAATATCTCATCTCCTGCGTGGGGAAGAGCCCACTGGTTTTAACGCGAGCTGCTGCTTCCTCTAAAAGAGGGGTGTAGTCTCCTCTCGACGGAGTCCCTGGCGCCTCGCGTGGCCGGGTTTGAGGCTATACCGTCCGATCAGTGACCTAAGCGTCTCCTTACAAAGGCGGCGAGGACGATGCCCCCGGCCGCGACCCAGCCCCGGGCGCCCTGCATCCGGTCCTCGGGAGCAGCCCGGGCCTCGGACGGGCGCGGGGCCGGGAGGGAAGGCGCTTCGGGGGCTGTGGCCTTGCGGCGCCCGAGGCCAAGGCCAAGGCCATCCGCGCGCAGCCCCGCCCGAGGAAGCGCGAGAGCCCTGCGCGGCCGCTCCCGGGAGCACAGAAAAAGAACCCCTCGCCCCGCTGCCTCCTCTCTGGCTCCTTCTCTTCTGTGGGTGCCAGAGTCCAGCGCACTCCCTGGCATACAGTTGGCGCTTTATAAATGCCGGTTCCTTTTTCCCATTCATTCCCTGCTCCACCCATGGGCTCTCATTCCTCCCTGGCTCTCATTCGATTTCTCTCACTTTCTTCCCCCATCCTTATTCATATTTTGTAGTCGCTGTCTCTCTGCCCCCCCCCATTCCTTCCTCTCTCCCTCCTTCCTCTCTCCCTGTCATTTCCTATCTTTACGCATCTGTCTCTACCACTGTCTTCCCTATCTCTCTCACCGTCTCTCCATGTCTCTGTAGCTTCCCTTCTGTCCTCTGGCTCTCTGCCTCTCTGCCTCTACATCTGTGTCTCTTGTCTCTTTCTCGGCGTCTGCTCCCTCTCCCCACCCCCATTTCATTGGCGGGCTCCTTGCCATCCTGCACCTGGACGCTCGGGCGCCCCCTGCCGGTTTCTCGTCTGCCCTTCCTGGGCTCCCTGCTCCCCTAACGTCCTCTGCCGCGCCTCTCGGGCTGGGGAGAGGTGGGAGCTGAAAGGGGCGTCTCTTGGGCTCCAACCGCCCCCCCCATCTCTAGAAGGCAGGAATAGCCCCCAGCGTTTCCTGGGACGCACCCAGCCGAGGCCCGGCTCCTGGGAGGAGGGCCCGGAGGGGGCGGCGGGGAGGGAGTGTTGGGGGTAGCAGGGTGGGATTTGGCGTCCTTCCCCGGAATGAGCCGCGGCACAATCTGTCGCTGGGTTTGTTTGCCGAGCTGCCTCCGGAGCGCAGTGGGGCTGGCTCCCGGGGAGCGAAATATCACAAGATGCGGAGACAGACGCTGAGGGGCGGGTGGGCGGCGGGCTGACTCAGGTGTGCTGTCATCGGCTCCCTGGGCCCGCGCTCTTCAGAGGGGGCTGGGAGGACCCCTGGCCCCCAACACAGGCCAGCACGCGAAGCTGGGAGGGGAGCCCCCATCCCGGGGTGGGACGCAGTTGGAAGGGGGTGTTCCTGCCAATAATCCTTGGCTCCATGCTTCTCCTTCAGGGCTTGGGAGCCCCAGGGGACACGTTCACCTTGGGTGTGCCTCAGAGGGTCGCACACCCCTCTGCTCACATCCCATTGCACGGCGTGTGGTTGCCTGTAATTATCTGCTGACTCACCACTTTCCCCCATTAGACTGCCAGCTTTTTGAGGGCAGGAAACTCCTCTCATCCATCTTTGTGTCCCCAGCAAATGCTCAATGAACCCTTTTGGATGGTGGTAGATGGGTGCCTTCCAGGAAGTACCACAATGCATTTGGTCTTCCCTGTAGAGCATTCTGACGCAGTTCCTCTCCCTGTCCACACCTGCATCCCCCCCCCCGCCCCCATCCCATCTCCAGACAGTCAGGGAATTGGAAACCACTCTCCCTCCAGTCTGAAGATCAGCATTCTTTAGGTGACCCTAAATAAGTTACTCGGTTTTCTGATCCCTTCAGTTTCCTCATCTGTACAGTGGGAACATACTCATAAGCTTCAGTACCTCTCCAGCCACTCGAGATATGAGAAAGTGCTTAGTAGGATGTAGTTCTGACCCCAGTCTGTGGTGATAACAATTGTCCTTACTGTTTCGGTGGTGGTTCTTAAGATCTTTGTCCCAGTAGAATCAGGCACCATGTGTGAACATGAGTTTTGCTTCTACAGTTAGCTGTTTTGACATCCGAGGGAGTAAGCTGATGACAAGATGCAGCGGATGGCTGTGTTAGAGAGCCTCTGGGTCCTTCCCTGTCTGGCGGGTGGCTTGGCCAGTCTCTGGGGGCACGGGGTCCTCGGGACTTGCCACTGAGCTGGCCTGCCCTCTGGTGGTCATAGGTGGTTCTGCAGCCCCAAGGGAAGCCAAGATCTTCAGAAATGGGCTAATGGGATGGATGGATTTTCCCTGAGAAGGCGGAGGTCCCTCGTGTGGAAAAAAGTGGGCTTTGGAAAGGAGGTCATGTACAGGGAACAAGATATTGGCACAAATTGGGCGAGTCTCGACTTCCTCTACGAGTGCCCACTTATTAACAGCATTCCTACTCTCCTTCTGACACCCAGGGCTCCTCTTTTCTCTGGGGGAACCCATCTAGTGAGTCACCTAATTTGACAACTGTGTTGTGTAGGACACTTGGCCGCCCGCCACGGGTGGGGGTGGTTCGGTGGTCAAGAGCAGGCTCCTGCCCTAGCTCTGCGCCTCACTTAGCCCCACGAGGTTGGGCAAGGTGTTTACCTGTCCTAAGCCCCCATTTTCTCAGCCAGAAAATGGGAGGGGGCAATACTAGTTCCTAGTGCAAGGGGTTGTCTGAGGATTAAATGAGACAAAACATGAAAGAACCTAACAGAGTACCTGACCCTGCGCTCAACGACTTTAATAATATTACTATTAATTTTCATTTCAGCCTCACAGCAGCCTGCAGAAATAGATGTTCCCGTCCAGTGGCAGAGAGCAGAGTCAGGACCCGAGGTCTCAAAAGTACTGAGAGGCACAGCTGGCTTTGGGAGTCGGTTTTGAGTTACAACATTTTTCTTGAAGTTTATTTAGTTTTGAGAAGGGGGAAGGGGCAGAGAGAGGGAGATAGAGAATCCCAAGCAGGCTCCATGCCTGCTGCTGTCAGCACAGAGCCCAACGCAGGGCTCAAATGCACAGACTGTGAGATCATGACCTGAGCTGAAATCAAGAGTCGGATGCTTAACCAACGGAGCCACCCAGCTGCCCCTGAGTTATAACCTCCTATCCAGTGTGTGTGTGTCTGGCCTCCACATCTCTCCCTCCCCCTGGCACAGACCAGCACTGCCTGGGGTGATGAACACAATCCAGGTCTGAGCTCTAAGTCCAGTTCGAGCCTGGAGCCAGCCTCCAAATGGCTATGTATCCTGGGACAGACCTCTCTCCTCTCTGGGCATTAGGCTCCCCATCCTTGAAAGGAGCAGTTTGGACCCTTGAAAGTTCCCCAGAGCCATGCCTTTGTGACATCCTCATTTCTCCCTCTGGAATCAGAAGCTACTAAAATGCAACCTCCCAGCTAGATCCCTTTCCATGCTGCTCCCGCCTTCCCAGCTCTGTGTCTGGGGGCGGGGGGGGGGGGGGGGGGGGGGGGGGGAAGGTATGTGTGATGAGGGACCCATGGACAGGTCAGAACTTCTAGGGACTTTCTAAGACCCCTGAGCCTTTCAGTGACTGCGTGCTGGGGCGGGGGCAGGGCCCGCACTTTTCACCCAGAAACCTCCCACACTGAGTTCCAAGTCCTACTCGGCCTGCCTAATGAGAGCAGGGCTGCTTTCCAAAATCGGGAAGAAAACATAAACCAAAGTATTTTAAAGGGCAAGGGTGTTAGAACATGCTTTTTTCTTCCCTGCTTGGTTTCTAGGGTCTCTGTCCATTTATATTATTTATAAGTTACTGGCATTTATTAACCACTTCAAGTCATGAACTATGTGCATAGGCTCGTTTAACATTCAGAGCAGCACTGTGGGGGAGGGTCTATTATATATCGCCTTCTTTTACAGATGGAGATTCCTCAGAGAGGTAGTAGTACTCTTAGATCCTTCTTGTCCAGGGGGTGCCTGGGTGGCTCCGTCAGTTAAGTGTCTGACTCTTGATCTCGGCTCAGGTCATGATCTCACAGTTTGTGAGGTCAA